CCGACAGCAGACCAGGCTTTTGTTGCGGGACGCCTCGGGTAGAGCAGCTGGAGTGCTGCCGGGTTGGTCCTGTGGGAACCTACCGGGCAGCGCCCCAGCTGTTCTGTCCCAGGCTCCAGATTCAGCAGCTGTTGAAACTGATCAGGCTGATTCCAGGAAGCTGGGGGCAGAGCAACTCTGCCTCCGGCTTCCTGTAATCAGCCCCTGGTCAGTTTGAGTGGCAGCAGCTGAATCTGGAGCCAGTTCCGACTTACATACAAATTCAACTTAAGAACAAACCTATAGTCTGTATCTTGTACGTAACCCGGTGACTGCCTGTATAATACTAGCCAAGAGTTCTTTATAGGGACAACTGTTCTACATTAGTACCACTTGTGATAATTTCTCTTCTACATGGCCCAGAAATCAAAGCTTCCACACTACTTTCAAAGAATGTCTTTGAAATTGTTTTAGAATGACAATGTCTACACTGGCATCTTATAGCAGCACAGTTGTGTCTCTACAGCTGTGCCATAGTAAGGAATGCTGTGTAGCCACTCTATCACCAAGAGAGAGCTCTCCTGGGCCGTGTCCAGACTCAGGGGTTTTTTCGGGAAAAGTAGCCTTTTCCCGAAAAAATTTCCCCTGCGTCCAGACTCAAGCCGCGTTCTTTCGAAATTATTTCGAAAGTACGCGGCTTTTCTTTCGATGGCGGTAAACCTCGTCTCACGAGGAAGAACGCCTTCTTTCGAAAGTTCCTCTATCGAAAGAAGGCGTTCTTCAATGTAAAGAGGCCGTCTTCGAAAGAGAGCATCCAGACTCGCTGGGTGCTCTCTTTCGAAAAAGCGGATTTCTCTTTCGAAAGATCCGCCTGCAGTCTAGACGCGATCTTTTGAAAGAGGCTCTTTCGAAAGATGCTTTCGAAAGAAGCCTGCAGTCTAGACATAGCCCTGGTGATAAAATAACCAACAAGGAGCAGTAGCTTAGTTAACAGGAATAGAACTCCCACAGATGAAGTGCTGTCCTCTCCAGCACTTTTTGTTCAAACTTTTGTCATTCAGGGGGTGTTTTTCCTGAGCAACAGAAGTTTTAGTGATGGAAGTACCACTGTAGACAAAGTTTACAATACTAAATTAGAGTTTATTTTGCAGTCATGTTTTACCTTTAAGAGTTTTTAATCACAGTTTTTCCATTAAAATTATGACAAATAAAAGAGTACCTTATTGGTATTTTCAGCATTAAATCTTTTGCCATAGTCTGGAGTGCTAAATATATGATAAAGTTCGAAGCGACTCAGCATTATCATCAAGAAATGGTTTGGATCCATCATAGATACACCTGTCTGTTTAAATAAAGTTCATGGGAAACATTTTAAAAAAGTATATTCTCTATGCAAAAGCTGAATAGCTAGAATTACAGAGTAGATGGATATTATGCACAAAGTATTGTATTTAACAGTATATTCCTTATAGAATTTATTTTTCACCATACAAACTTAATTACAGGCAGTCCCCAAGTTACGCGGATCCGACTTATGTCGGATCCGCAGTTACGAACGGGGCCGTTCCTCTCCCTGGTCTCCAGCAGACCAGGGAGAGGAAGCAAAGTGGCAGAACACGTGGGCAGCGGACAGGGCTGTCCGCTGCCCACACGCTCCGCGGCTTGGCTCTGCTTTGCCCCCCCCTCCGCCCCGTCCCCCTGGTCTGCAGACCGGGA